CAACTAGTTGTGGGGCAAGGAGTGATTGTACATGCAAGAGAAAGGGACTCATTGCTTGCAAATGTGATATTAGTATTTATTCGTCCAAAACTTTGGTGCACAAGAGATGTGGGACTAAACCCACATCACACCTTCCACCAAAAGGCTTCAAAGGTGGGAAACTGGTACAAGTTTGAATCCTCACATAGCCAAAACTCATATTTTTTATTTGATTATCGTGACTTTCTTACAAATCACCGGTGAAGGATTTAGCTACCAGAATCACTAGATCATTAGTGAAAATCTTGTCAACACGATTCGTAGAGCATTGTTACTAAAATTGTTGAATAATTCATGATAAAAGGATCACAAATCCATCAAGTAAAGTATCTCTGATTGATCGACAAACAAGCCGTCGTCATGAAGAAGACGATTTACTGGGAGATGAGTCGCCACCTCCTGAGAGCGTACCGGATGCGATGAAGAGCCTTCCCTTGCTACACGGGCTTGAGGATAAAGCTCCTTGACACATGCCCTACCTCCATCTAGCTCCTCTTCGTTGGGTGACAGTCGTTAGAGAGCCGCAAAGTTGTCATTTTTCTACTCCACTAGGTGACAGCTGTTGAAGATGATTTGACGACCCATTTCATTGATCTCTAAACTTTGCAAGGAGATCTAGCGATTGCCTATGTCGTCCTTGTCCAAGGAGAGCCTTCAAGGTCATAAACACTACACGACGATCTTCCTAAACGCTTAGGATTTTGGTGCATCACTAATGCATTGCCACCACGATGACAACACTCTATTTTCTTATTTTCAACTTAATTTTTACTTCATTTAATGATAATTTATGTCATTTAAATTTACCAAGCTATACTTTATTCAATTATGATTCTTTCGACTTTTATAGCTTTTAATTTGATCAATCCAATTGTCTGTAATCATTTAGGTAAGAATCATCAGGCAAAACTCTATTTTTGCCTGATTCGTGTTCATCAAGTATTGATGTCATCTTGAAATCCGCACCCTTATTTCTCTTTTTTATAAATTTAAATATATTTAATTTTTATTTTCTAGTATAAAATTCATAGAAAATTATATTCTTTGAGGAAAATTTTGAAAAATTACTCGATACTATATTACATCTTTGTGATCGACCTAGAAAATTATCACTATTTTTGAAACTTTTATTGAATTATAATTGATATATTTGTTTAGAAATACTTCTAAATATCTAAAAATTAGTATTTTCTAGTTTTATAAATTTTAAATTTGTATGATTTACTATTCAATGACTAAGTCATGTTAGTTATCCTTATTTTTCAAAACTTCAAAAAATCTTACTACGATTGTCTCTTAATGAATTTGTGTGCGAGTCATGTCAATTTCATAAACATCAATATTCCTCTTATTTAAATCGTGATAGTACATCATCAGTTCCATTTGATTTTGTTCATTACAATGTTTTAGGACCTTCTTGAGTTACCTCAGTCATTGAACATCTCTATTACATCATTTTCACTCATGATTATACTTGTGTGAGTTGGGTTTATCTTCTTTGATCGGTCTCAAGTTCTCCATATTATTACTCAATTGATCATTAAGATTATTACCCAATATTTCACCACACCTAAAGTTCTTTACAAAGACAATGAACTTTAACTTATTCAAGATGCTATTCACATATTTTATACTAATCGTGGTATTATTCATCAAACCACTTGCCCATGTACTTCTTAATAGAATGGAGTTGACGAACAAAAATACCACCACTTACTTGATATCACTCACACACTACTCACTAAAATACATATTCCACATTACATGTGGTCTAGTGCATTCCTGACTGTTACTTATCTTCAAAATCGTTTTCCTTCCGCTTTGTTAGGTGGTGTCATTCCTCTTTAACATTTCACACCTAACACTTCTCTTTTTTCTTTACCTCATCGGGTTTTTGGTTACACCATTTTTATTTATGATCACTCATCATCTCTTTCTAAACTCATTTCTTGTGCTTTGAAAGGTGTCTTTGTGGGTTATTTGTACACCCAAAAGGATTATCAAGTATACTTTCTCGACACCCGTCACTATGTGATCTTTCATAAGGATTTCTTTTTTTTACTCCATCTCCTTCATCTTCTCATCCATCTACGTCTCCACCCCTTAGGTTTCCACCCCTTATCGTTCTCACATATCGTCCTTCTATTCTTTCTTTATTCTCCCTTCTTCATGGGCACCTCCACCACTCATGTCATCTACCAATGCCTCCACTTCGAGTGTAGTTTCATCCTCACCCACCTTGCCTAACATTACTACTTCATTAGTTGACCCTCTTATGCCACTTATGAATGACCTTCATCTTCCCATTGCATTGCACAAAAGTACTTGCTCTTGCACTCAACATCTTATATCTCACTTTGTCTCCAATGATTGCCTTCACCCTACCTTTTGTGCCTTTGCATTCTTCATGGTTTCCAAGTTGATTCCATAGTCATATGTTGAGTGCACTTCAGGGCCCTACTTGAAAAGCAACTATAGATTTAGAGGTAGGAGCACTCATTTCTCAAGACATGGGGAAGCTTATCTCTTGTCCAACAAATGTCAATATTGTGACATACAAGTGGGCCTTCACATTGAAGTAGAACCTAGATGGTTCCATCACTCATCACAAAACTTGTTTGATTACCCATGGCTTCACTCAAGCCTATGATATTGTTTATATGGAGACCTTTTCTCCTATGGTCTAGCTAAACTCTATTTAGGTTCTTCTTTTTTTGGTGGTACATCGTGATTAGTCACTTCACTAGTTAGGCATGTGTAATACCTTCCTCTATGATGACTTGGAAAAGCAGGTTTTCATAGAGCAACCTCCAAGGTATGTTACTCAAAGGGAGTCTTCCCAAGTTTGGTTGCTTCAATATGCTATCTACAAACTCAAGCAAAGTCTTCGAGCTTGGTTTGTGAAATTCAGTAGCCTTCTTACTACCTTTGGCTTCACTTCATACATTGTTGACCCCATTATCTTGATGACGACCACACCTAATCTTTTAGCTCCTTAAGCCCACCCCCACCAGGTGTCTTCACATAAACCAGACATCTGAAGACTTTAAGGTGTGATATGTGAGGTTTTCTTCCTATCCACACTTCATAGGGAGTCATCCCCTCCGGACACCTTGTGGGAGCCCAATTGAGCAGGTGCACTACTGTGTTCACTGTCTCTCCCCAAAATTTTCAAGACATTGACTTATGCTTCAGAATGGCTCTCATTATCTCCACAATTGTACGATTTCTCCTTTCAACCACTCCGTTTTGCTGAGGAGAATAGGGGGTGGTCAGCTGCCTCCTGATGCCATTTCCTTCATAGAAAGCTCGAAATTCAATAGATATTAAGGGAATGCAGGAAAATGAGTATAGAAAACGTAAAGAGAAAGGATCGATCGGAGAAGCGTGAGAGAGGGGATTCGCACGGAAACTAACCCCAGATTCGAAACGTCTGTAACAAATGAGGAGAGAGACAGCGTTTAAAGGAGAGAGAAAGGGGCCCAAAGGGGGCCGTCCTTTTTCTATCAAGAACAATATAAAGAGGGCAATAAATGCCTTTGTTCGTTTTGCAGTAAATGCCAAGAGGAAGGGAGGGCCGCAGCCGGGACGGGCGCTGTGCGGAATTGTTCCCTTCTGGCCGGACGTACAGCTGACGGGGCCCTTTGGATCAAGATAGCATTTTGGGCCCCAATTCTACGTGGTATGTGGGAATAGATTCTAAGCAAGCCCGCCCCAATTCGTCGACGGGCTTTCGAGGCTGGTAGCGTGGCGTGGACATATCCATCGGCTGCGTCTAGGTACCAACATTTTTCAATCGCAATACCGAACGATGATAAGAAATTTACTAAATTGAATACAATACCTTTTCTTCATAAAATATCACCTGTTCACTGCTGCCTGCTCCCACTCATGTTTTTAAATGGACAACCAACTAATGTTGCCTAGTCCTATTTATCCACATGTGCAATAATTTTAAAAAATCCGAAATTCCACGTTGGATGGTCTGATTTGCACGTGCCTTTTATCCATTCCCAGGGATACTACGCGTCAGTATTATCTTGTAACGCGTCCACTCTTTTGTGATCTAACCTGTGAAGGGACCATACTGCCCTCCCCCGATCTCATACAGCAGGTAGATTCAGACAAAACGAAGATAGTGATCTAACCTGTGCAGGGAGCATGTTACCCGTGATAAGATGAACGGTACAAACAATCTATAGCCCTCGTGGCGATGGAGTGTTGAGATAGGGAGGCAGAGACGGGGATAGAGAGAAAGAGAGAGAGGTAGAAACTAGGAGAGGGCGACGAGATCTCGATGGTGAGCCTGTCCCATCTCCTACAGCAGGTAGATCTGGACATAACGAAGAGAGTGATCTAACCTCCATCGGGAGCATGCTACCAAAGGCATGGAGAAGGTATTCCGTGGATGCGGTAGTAGTTGCAAGTTCGTTGATCCAGTACACACATCAAGGAGGACGATCTTATCACCATAACTCCTTGATGAACAATCTTCCAACAGGATTTAGTGAATTAGTGAAATCTGGATTACAATTGCGATGTGGATATCTTGGGCTTCTTCCCTTTAGCTTGCTATAAGTAGTACACAACGGCACCGCCCCGCCGCAGCAACCCTGGAGACTTCGCTGTGGCAATGGCTTCCTGGGTGACATCCAGCGTGCCTATCCTCCTGCTACACTTCATCCTCTTCTTCTCAAGTCCGGCTCGTCGCAGTCGAAACCCAAGAGACCCCTCTGGCAACGCCGGGATCGCAGGGCAGCCGGCTGAGAACGTACATCATCCATGTTGAAGCGCCGCCTCCTCATCTACGAGCAGACCCCGAGGGGAGGGAGGCCTGGCACAGGTCCTTCTTGCCGGTCCACCTCCTGGACTCCGGCGAGCAGCGGCTGCTCTACTCGTACGAGCACGTAACTGGCTTCGCCGCCAGATTGACCGAGGAGGAGCTGGCAGTCATCAGGGAGATGGACGGCTTCCTAGCCGCCTACCCCGACGAGCTCATCCCACTCCAGACGACCCACTCGCCCAAATACCTCGGACTGCAGCGCACCGGCGTGTGGAACGAATCCAACTATGGCGAGGGCGTAATCATCGGCGTCCTCGACACCGGAATTAATCCGGACCACCCCTCCTTCGGTTGCGATTTGCCGCCGCCTCCCTCTAGCTGGAAGGGGCAGTGCGAGTTCGGGCCTGACCGATGCAACAACAAGCTCATCGGTGCGAGGGGCCTTCACTCTCGGCCTGAGAGCGATGCAGGGCGGAGGACTCACCGGCGAGATTTATCTGGGGACGGCACCATTCGACATCAATGGACACGGCACACACGTCACGAGCATTGCTGCGGGCTGTTTTGTCGACGGCGCCGCCTCGTATGGGAATGCTCAAGGCACGGCGGTGGGCATGGCTCCCAGGGCCTACCTCTCCGTCTATAAGGTCTGCGGCTCCGGCCCCAAAGACTGCCTCTCGACCGATATCCTGGCGGGTCTCGACGCCGCCATCAACGACGGGGTTCACATCGCGTCACTGTCAATCGCTGGTCCATCTAGGAACTTCAGCATTGATCCGATTGCCATCGGCGCCTTCAAGGCGGTGGAGAAGGGCATCTTCGTCGGATGCGCCGCGGGAAACAACGGACCGTCCCCGGGCACCCTCTCCAACCAGGCGCCGTGGCTGGTTGTGGTCGGCGCGAGCACCATGGACAGGAGCATCCGCGCGACAGTGAGGCTCGGGAATGGGCTCGAGTTTGACGGCGAGTCACTGTACCAGCCTTTCTCCTTCCCCCCAACTCAGCGTGGTCTCGTCACGGGCGGATCCTGTTTAAACTTCTCGATCAACGTGGAGGGAAAGGTGGTGTTATGTGATATCACCCCACACGTGTGGCGGGTTGACCAAAGTCTCCTGGTGCGGAACGCCGGCGGTGCAGCCATGATACTGGCGAACAGCGCGAGAGAGGGGAACACCACCATCACAGACGCCCACGTCCTTCCGGCATCCCACGTCAGCTTTTACGCCGGATTGGTGATCAAACAGTACATAGCGTCTAGCAGCAGTGCGACGGCTACCATCGTCTTCAAGGGCGCCGTTACTGGAGGGCCGTTCACGCCAGCGATGGCGTACTTCTCTTCGAGGGGACCCAGCACCGCCAGCCCAGGAATCCTGAAGCCAGACATCGTCGCCCCAGGGGTCAACATCCTTGCGGCGTGGCCTACACCGGTGGGATCCCCCGACGACCAGTTGTCTTTCAACATAATCTCCGGTACCTCCATGGCCACACCCCACGTGAGCGGCGTAGCAGCGCTGATCAAGTCCGCTCATCCCACCTGGTCGCCGCCGGCAATAATCAAGTCGGCTCTGATGACCTCGACGTACATATGGGGAACCATAAAGAACCGGATCACGAACCACGTGGGGATGCAGGCAACAGGCTTTGACATGGGTGCGGGAGAGGTCGACCCTTATTGGGCCCTTAAGGCTAGTGGTTTACAAAATCACCTTAAGCGACTACATCGCATATTTGTGCGGCCTTGGATATACAGATCAGGAGATCGGCATAATCACGGGCGGCGCCGTGGACTGCTCGTCAGTTATTTCTATCAAGGAGGGCGAGCTGAACTATCCCACCTTTCGGATCTTCCTGACCGATGAAAACAACTTCAAACGAGAGGTGACCCGGACGCTGACCAACTTGGGGCCTCCGGGAACCAGCTGCAAAGCCCTGAACGAGCTCGAAGGGGTCACCGCGACCGTCCGACCGGACACTCTCACATTCTCCGCCGGGGAGAAGAAGCAGTACACGGTGACCTTCGCAAGGAGCGGCTCCGGGACGGGGTCCACCGTCAGCGGCGTGCTGGGTTGGTATTGCAATGGCATAATAGTGCGTAATGCGGCAGTAGTATCCTACTAAGCTCACGGCAGCGTCTCTGTGAGCGCTCTGTTGTATGGTTTCTCCGTGCCGTTTCCAGGCTCGAATGCTCCCCTCTGTTGTGTCTTGCTTCCGTAATGATGTGCCTCCGCTGGGGACGCGGTGGCTTCTTTTGGACGTGTAATGAACACGTTCGTATTTCACTCATGGCCCTCTCATGTCCAGCAGGGAATGAGTCCAACAGTCATGGAGCCTTGGAGTATGTGTTCAGCATGAGGAGCACAACTTCAGCCTAAGAAGAGATAAGCCCCGGACTCAGATTAGCAAGAGCGACAAGTTTTTGAAAACGGAATAAGGGTGGGTTCCCAATTCAAATTTACTTTTGTATAGTGTACCTAAGGAACGAAATGCTGGTCGGGATTTGGAAGGAACTACCCTTTTCTCATCAAGAAGTATCGTTGGTAAGTTGTATTTGCCAACATAGTAAAGTAGTGGGGCAATGATTTTTATTGAAACGAAAATAAAATCTGGGGGAGGTAGGATAGATAAATTTGTTGAGCCCTTCCAGCATATTAGTCATTTCAAGTCCTATACACCTTGATAACAATAGACCACAGAACTAATGATAATAATATAACTTACATGGAAATGGCAAATTCTGTAAGCTAGGGCCATAGGCTTAGCCATATAAAACCGCAGCCTAAACAGATGGCATCAGCCATTGTAACACAGAAAAATGACCATGAAAAGGTCTTGTACCATGATAGCCACGAATTATAGATGTTGAAAGAAACAAACTGTTGCTGCAAATATAGAGAGTGAGAGATCCCTCAAAGAGCCAAGGTGAATAACTCTCATAACGTTTGCAGTATTCTAAGGTTAACAATTGAAACGAACTGTGATAAATCCAGATGATACCCACCAGTTTTGGGTCATCTAGGTCAAAAGATTTCTGCCCTTCTCCTTGTTGTAGTTGATGTCCGACATCACGAAGTCCAACGAAGAGGAGTTAGTGTGGTAAAAGATTCGATGAAGAAGAAGATGAATTATCAAGAAAGCTGTTTTATTTTAGGCATAGATCTAAAAAGGTCTAAATCATATTAGGTCCAAGTAAAGTGCGCAAGGACTAAGTCAGACCTGGTTTATGGGGCTGTCTATTATTTCTTGTTTTTTATTTTTTATTTTTTATTTTTATTTTTATTTTCTATTTTATATTTCAGGGGTATGGTAATGGTCATATTATTCTATAAAAATTAACTATCAATTGGTCATATTTTGATTTTTGAAGCTTTTTTATTTTTGACAGACTTTGGCATCGAAACGGGGGGATCGTGGGAATCCCATTCTACTCTCTCTCTCTCTCTCTCTCTCTCTCTCTCTCTCGCGCGCGCGCGTTTGCTCTTTCTTTCTGCGCTCTTTTTCACTACTCGCTCCCGCTCTCTTCTTTCCCTCTGCCCTCTCCCTCTCTGTTCTCTCTCTCTCTCTCTCTTCTCTTTCCCGCTCTGCCCTCTTTCTCGCTACTCTCTCTATCTGCTCTTTTTTCTGCTCTCTCGTCTGCTCTCATTGTCTCTTTCTGTTCTCACCCGTTCTGCCCTCTGTCGTCTGCTCTCTTTCTTATCTCGCCCGTTCTGCCCACTCTCGTTCGCTCTGTATCTCTATAGTCTCTTTCTCTCATTCCACTCTTTCTGCTCTCTCTCTCTCTGTCCGCTCTCGCTCTGCCCTCTCTCTCTCTCTCTCTCTCTCTCTCCCTCTCTTTCTGCCCTCTCTCCCTCTGTTCACTATTTCCCCACCCTCTCTCTCTATCCACTCTAACCCTTTATTTGGCTTTAATAGTATCCAGCAATCGTAATTATCTAAGTGACAGTTGGACGAATTACAGGAACATAAACCGTGGAACTTGACAACCTCTGTAGCAGGCTGCCGGCCCCCCCTGTGTCACAAGGGGAGCTGCTCGTATCTAAGTGATCCTCTCTTCTCTTCCTTTTCCTATTACAACCTTTACTCAGTTATTACATTTTCTAGTTATAGTCAAATTGGCATACACTATTTCAAGGTTACTTGTGACATTTTCTAGTTATCATTGGCCCATTATTTTTATTGTTTATATCATTTTGGTGCGTCTTTCCTTTGTTAGTCTTGTGTCGTAGTCATGTTTACTATTGAGTCTTTGTGTCTGAATTAATTTTATAGTAGTAGAATGTTGTGTCGTAGCCAATATGTTTTTACGCTGTTGTACTTCAAGAGGAATTCATTTCTTTTAGTTCTCTTTAAGGAAAGTTGTTTTTTCTCTTTGGACTTGAGGTGCAGCTAAGGAGTAAGAGCTAGTTGGGACACCCCTGGAGCACAATTGAAGCAATCTTGGAGTTACCTCGACCTCTGCAAATCTATACCTGAGCTCTTGCAAATCGTCATGCCAACATTAGAAACTCTGCCCCTTTCATTTCTCATTTTTTATTTTCTTGAAGCAAGAAAACGCTAGCAGATGCATCACTCCTATCTCTCCTATAAAGATGCTGTTTTAGTGAAATTTAGCTTTTTTTGATATTTAAATTGATGTCTTTTAATACAGTGACAAAAGACACATCAATAATCTATTTGGATTCTAATTCAAAGCTTGTTTACTTTTGAAACATCCCACCTCATTTCTAAGCTTATTTAAAGGCTTCCTTATTGTAACCTAGACAATCCTGGTTATTAAAAATTTGGTTCTCTATGAGAGAGTTTTGAGTGTTTGTAGATTCAAGGGTCATCAAAGCCATTCTTGTGAATGCAAGAATTATAAAAAACATTGCCTTGTGAATTCACGAATTAAAAAAAATCGTGCCTTGTGGATTCAAGGTCTGATTTCTGATCCTCCCCACTTCTAGTTTAATGTCCTGTGCATTCAAGGCTCAAATATATTATCTTCACAACTCTAGCTGCATCAAATCATCATTCCATCCTCTCTTGCCATGTATCTTACCTGCACTTTTCTCATCCACATTTAAAGTAAAAAGTGAAGAGAGTGAAAGAAAGTGGGCTAATATTTGATTATGAAAAGAGGGCAGAAGCCTTATACATATATGAGTGAAGAGAGTGAGAGAAAGTGGGCTAGGCCCATAAACATACATATATATATATATATTTATATATATCTTTACAACCCCCCCTCAAGTTAGAGTGTAGAGATTGAAAGCTCTAAGTTTGGAGTGAAAAGAAACTAGTTGAGGACCATCGAGAGCCTTCGTAAACATGTTTACAAGTTGCGCTTTTGAAGACACCCAAGATAGGAGAATCAACTAAGCTTGAAGTTTCTCCTAGATAAAGTGATAATCAAACTCAATATGCTTCACATGTTTATAGAAAATAGGATTAGAAATAATATGGACCACATATTGATTGTTGCAAAAGAGATGCATAAGTTGAGAATGAAAAAAGGCCAAGTTTTATAAGAAATTGACATAATACCTAAATAAGCTCGCATGCAGCACTCCACATAGTCTGATATTTTGATTCAACATTATATAGTACAATCATTTGTTGCTTCTTGTTCTTCTAAGAGGTAAGATTCCTCCCTAGAAAGATGCAATAGCTAGTGTTTGAGCACCAATCGATAGGAGAACTTACCCAATTTGTATCACCATGAACATCAAGGGAAAAAGAAGACTTATATATAAGTCTTGGCTATGATATTTCTTCAGATACTAAAGGATCATCATGACTACATCTCAATTAGTATTGTGGATTGACCATAAATTGACTAAACACACTCATAACAAAAGAAATGTTATGACGAGTTAAGGTTGAGTAATTTAGTCACCCCACCAAGCAACGAAACTATCCTAGATCCTCAAGATCATTATATGAATCTAAAAGCAACTTGATCTTTGGATCCATCGATGTAGAAGCAAGTTTGGCACACAACATTCATGCATCCTACAATATATCAAGTACATACTTCTATTGATTGACAACTAGGCCTTTGGAAGAGTAGGCAACCTCAATGCCCAAAAAATATTAAAGTTGACTAAGATTTTTGATCATCACTTTACTCTAAAAAAAGACCTTGAAATAAGAAATACCTTATTGATAAGTCTTCATTATCATGAGTTAATAATTAATTAATAATATATTTTTATTTTGAACTCATGATCAATATACTTCTATTTGACTTAAATTCTAAAAAATAGTTTTTAGTTAGTTAATGTGAAGTTTTGACTAATTATGTGATTTATGTGTTCGATAGTAATATCAAACTCTCGGCCTACTATGGCCCATTATTTCTCTCTTTCTCTCATCTCTCCTCTCTCCTAGATAGTTGTCATGTATTTTACTATGAGTTTGCATAAATTTTAGGATTTTCTTCTCTTGTGTCAACATGGTATCAAAGCCCTAGGTATCCATTGTTGTCCTCCTCTTCTTTGATGTGCCACTCATCTCCTACATGTCATTTTCCTCTTTGCCAGCCTCTTCCCTCCTTAGGTAGCTCTTTAGTGTCACCACTCTTCCCTCTTCCGTCGTCACTCTCCTTCTCCTTTTTGTGCTGCCCTCCTTATCGCCGTTGCCCCTCGTCAGTGCCATTCCTCTCCTCCTCTTCTCCGGTGTCTACACCATCACTATTGTCATCAAGGCCCCTCCTCACTGTTGCACCCTTACTATCACGCCATCGCAGGCACTGTCACTCTCACATGCCAAGGGCATTGCTGCTACCGTCGAGGTCCCTCCTTGCCATTGTTCCCTTGCCATTGCTCCCTTGCTGTCGTGCCCCAGCCCTCACCATCACCGTCATGTGCACTGTCACCGTCTGGCCACAGCGGCTAGGGTTTTGCCCATCTCCCAATGAACCAGCCAATAGTTTTATTCCAGATTGGCCCAACTAGACCTGCCAGACCACATGCCCAGCCGGCCTTAGTTGGTCCCAGCCAGCTCTATTGGGCCCCACTAAATTGACCTATCAGGCCCCGACTTGCTCACCCCACCACTTGCCCCTTTGGCTTGATCCTGTCAACCTCATGGCATTGTCTCACCCCCCTTCGTCACTTGCCTCTTAGCCCTCTAAGCTTCTTCCAGTTGTTGTTCCCCCTTCTCCAACAGTTCCTCTAACTTCTCACTCCATCACAGCACAACTTACTTAGCTGATGTATATCTTCAACAACCACAATTATGCATTATGGGCATCTAGCTTTGAGCTCTTTCTTAGATCTCATAGTCTCCTCCACCTCTTGGAGGACCCACTCGGCCTTCGGGAACCCTCGTATGTGACATGGTCGCAACTCAATTCAGTCGTCATTATGTGAATGTTTCAAAGCATCTAGCCTAACATTACTGAGACACTAGCGTGCGTCACCTCAGCTTATCTCTTGTGACTCACTATGGAGACCATATATGTTAATCAAACAAACATTGGTCACGTTGTGAAGATCTTTGAGTCTCTTCTCTTTTACAAACAAGATGATCTCTCTCTTCAGGCCCACTATGATTACCTCCGAGCCCTGATCTAGGAGATTGATATCTATCAGCCTCTTACTATTGACCTCTTGACCCTCTAGTGCTATCACTAAGAGTTTTATGCTAAGGTTTATCTCAGTGGACTTCATCTATCCACATCTTAGATTTGGAATCTATTCTCTCTAGAGATCACGTGCTTGATCTTGCCTCCATCTTCTCGGCAGCCCTTTGAGTCACCACTAATATGCCCATCCATTCCTCATCTTCCTCTTAAGGTGTCACCTCTACTCCTTTGGTTCTTGACATTGTTGCTCTATGGACTCGAGATGATACCTCTCCTTTCTACACGGTGGTCATACTCCTCATGGATGTGGGTGCAACACTTTTCTTCCATGTGCCTATTGCAAGAAATAGAATCATCTAGCTACTAAGTGTTGTAAGTAGTTTGGTAAGTCCCCTTCACACAACTAACAATAACTTCTTCGACTTTGACATCCCCTACTCTATTCTATGTTCCAACTCCTACTAACGTGACTTAGTCATTGTATAGTAATTCACGTAAATTTAAAATCTATAAAACTAGAAAATATAAATTTTCAAATATTTAAAAGTATTTCTAAATAAATATATCAATTATAATTTAATAAAACTTCTAAAAATAGTGATAATTTTTCAAGTTGATCATAGGAATGTAATATAATATTTGGTAATTATTTAGATTTTTTCTCAAAGAATACTATTTTTTATAAATTTATACTAATAAATAAAAAGGAAATATATTTAAAATTCACGAAAAGAAAAATAAGGGTATGGAAGTCAAGATGACGTCAGCGCCCGACGAACGCGAATCAGGCAGAAATAAAGTTCTACTTGGCGATTCTTACGTAAGTGATTACAGATGATTTAATTAATCAAATTAAGATCTGTAAAAGCTAGAAGAATCGTAAGTGAACGAAGTATATTTTCGTAAATTAAAATCACACAAATTATCACTAAATGAAACGTAAAGTAAGTTGAAAGTAGGAAAACAGATTTCCGACGTTGCGGCGGTGATGTGTTAGCAATACACTAGAATCTTAAGCGTTTGGGAGGATCGTCGTGTAGTGTCCATGGCCTTAGAGGCTCTCTTTAGACAACGACAACAACGTGGGCAATCTCTAGATCTCCTTGCGAAGTCTAGAGATCAATGAAATGGGTCGTCGAATCATCTCTGGCGACTGTCACCTAGTGGAGCAGAAAAATGACAACTTTGCGGCTCTCTGATGGCTGTCACCTAACAGAGAGGAGTTGGATGGAGGTAGGGTGCATATCAAGGAGCTTCATCCTCAGGTCCACACAACAAGAAGAAGTTCTTCATTGCATCTAGTATGCTCTTAGAAGGTGACGACTCATCTCCTAGTAGATCGCTTTCTCCCCGACGACAACTTATTCGTCAATCAATCGAAGATGCTTTACTCGATGGATTCACGATCCTTATATCACAAATCGTTCAAAACTTTTAATAACAATATTTCGCAAATTGCGTTGACGAGATTTTTGCCGATGATCCAGTGATCTTAGTTGCTTAATCCTTCACTAGTGATTTGCAAGAAAGTCACGATAATTAGATAAAAAAGTATGAGTTTTGGCTCTAGGAAGATTTAAACTTGCAGACCAATTGCCCCCCCTTTTTGAGAAAGGTGACGTGGGTTTAGTCCCACATCGGTTGTACGCCAAAGTTTCTAGCGAATATAAAGTAATATTACATTCTTGATCAAGTCCCTTTCTCGCATGTGTACGACCACTCTTTACTCCACAATCGGCTGGCCACTAGTGACATGGAAGGAGAGTGACGCACACGTGCTCCCATCGGTTCAAGCCACTCGAGTCCTTGCTCGCGGCTCCTCCTCGGCTGGGCTTCCGACTTGCTTGTGGGCCTGGCTGGCCGGCGGATCCCCCCATTTTGCTATATTTTTATTTTAATTTCTTTTCTTTTATTTATCTCAAAAGTAAGACTCTAAAAATTATATAAAATCACATAATTACCAAAAAAATCACGTTAAACAACTGAAAATCACTTTTCACACTTTAACACAAATATAAGTCTATTTATCATGAGTTAAGGCTAAAACTATATTATTTACTAATTATTAACTCATGATAATGAAGACTTATCACCTACCTTCCACGTAACCTTGATGCATGTGAAGTATGACACCCTTTCACCGCACCGATGGTACCAATACTTCACCTCTACTAGTCTCACCTTACTTGTGACCTCCTCCACACTAGGTACACACACTCTCTTTACTTCCTCTTTGACGTTGTGGATTATTAATTCGGGGGCCTCCACCCACATGACCAGTATCTCCCACTATTCTCTCCTCCTATCAACCTATCTTGACCCATCCTTCTTTCATCATTGTCGATGGTCAGACCTATCTAGTCAAAGGTTATGGTGCCACCTTGACTTCTCTCTCCCTTTACCTCACCCAAGTTCTCTACATTCTTAATTTTTCTACTAACCTTCTTTCCATCAATGCTATTACTCGTACCCCCCTTTGTATAGTCACATTCTTTTCCTTTCACTGTACTTTACAGGATCTACATACTGGACAGAAGATTACTTTGGGCCATGAAAATAAGTGAAGTATCTATAAACTCATTCTTAATGAACTCTTATCTGGCCTTAAGGCCCTTTTTGTCACCATTACGGCTACTTCTCTTTTCTGACATCGTTGTTTAGGTCATTCTTGTTTCTCTAAATTACAAAAAATCTTACCATGACTTTCCCTCTCTAACTTTGTGTGCGATGTCTTATTAGCTAGGCAAATATTATTGTACTTTTTATCCTAGTCATAATGGCATCCCCTCTTCCACTCTCTTTGACCTTTTCCATTGTGATGTATAGAGTCCATCTCGTATTTCTTTCATCTTAGGCCATCACTATTACATTGTTTTTATTTATGACTTTACTCATGTGTGCTAGGTTTACTTCTTTTGCAATCACTCTAAGGTTGTTACCATGATTATCCACTTCATCACCGAAGTTATCACCTAATACACTACTATGCTCAAGATTCTTCGTATTGATAATTCTTTCGACTTTATCCAAGTCTTTCTCCACACATTTTATAATGATCGTGACATCTTCCACTAGACCAATTGTCCCCACACTTAGTAGCAAAATGATATTGTCGAGACCCAAACATCATCAAGTCCTTTACATCACTTGCACACTTTTTCTTGAGATGAATGTCCCTCACTATCTTTGGGTTGACGCCTTTTTGATTGCTACTTACCTCTAAAATCAACTTCCTTGTGCTCCTCTTGGTGGGATCATTCCTCTCTATCGTGAATTCTTAATTCTCCTCTTTTTTTCCTTCTCCCTTGAATCTTTAGATGCACTGCCTTTATCTAGGATTCATCTCTTTCTCTTTCTAAAACTCGCCTCTTGTGCTCTTAAAGGGGTCTTTGTCAACTACTCTTGCACGTAAATGGGCTATCGAATCTACTTCCTCAATATTCATCGCTATGTGACCTTGGCTGACATCACTTTCATGAAGAGTCTCATTTTTTCACTCCAATTTTGACTCCTCCTCCTCCTCAAGCTGCTACGTCTCCTCCACTTAGGTTCTCTCTCTTGGTGGTTCTTGCAGACCCTCCCCCTTCTCTTTCCTCTTGTCCACTTGCTCTAGGGTTGTTATCCGCACCCACCTCGCTTTGGCCCATTTCTCTTGTGACTCCTACTCTAGATGTAGTATCCTCCTTATCCTCTCCTACAACCCCCTCTGCACCTTCGGTCGTTGCTCTACTTGATGACCTTCATCTCCATATTGCCCTCTACAAAGGTATACACATCTGCACCTACCATCCTATCTCCCAATTTGTCTCTTATAACTGCCTTTCTCTCTCCTTTTGTACCTTTGTCCTCTCTATGGCCTCTGAGTCACTTTCACAATCGTATGTTGAGGCGTCACAGGTACCTATGTGGAAGGTGGTCATAGATTCAAAGGTAGCTGCATTGATCACTTAGATAACTTAGCATTTGATCTCGCGTCCGACCAATGCCAACATTGTGACGTGCAAGTGGGTGTTTATCCTCAAGTATCACCTGAATGGCTCCATCATTCATCACAAAGCTCATTTCGTCACTCGGGGCTTCATGCAAACATATGGGATCAACTATATTGAGATGTTCTTTTTTGTCGTCCGCCTCAACTCCATCTATATGCTCTTCTCTCACCATCAATCAAGCATGGTCTCTCTACCAATTAGATATTTCTAACACATTTTTCTATGATGATCTCACATAGTAGGTCTTTATGGAGCAACCTCCAAGATATATTGCTCATAAGAAGTTATCTAGGTGTGTCTCTTGCACTGTATCTTTTATGGGCTTAAGTAAAATATGTGTACTTTAAATTGTCAAGTTTAGTGATTTACTCATCACCTTCAACTCCACCTGTTATTATGTGGACCCTATCGTGCTCACGAGGAAGATAGAGCACAGCCTTATTGTCCTTACAATCTATGTCAATGACATTTTTATTATTGAAAATGATGAGGTCAGCATCTTTACTACCAAGGCCTATTTGCAGCAGCACCTTAGTATTCGTGACTTGGGGACTTCACAATATTTTCTTGAGATTGAGTTTGCACATCAAGATAGAAAGTTTGTTATCACTCAGCGGAAATATACCTTCAACATTCTTCAAGGGATAGGCCTCCTTAGGTGCAAGTTGGAGACTTCACCTATGAAAGCTCACCTGCAGTTCTGGTACACTTCTTCTCTCCTATTCGAGGATGTTAACCAATATCGATGTTGTTGAACAAGTTGATATATCTCACTGTCACTTGTCCTAACATCATGTAAATAATTAATATCTTAAGCCAGTTCACGTAAGAACCTCGACAAGTTCATTAAGAAGTTCTATGAGTCCTTGCCTACATCAAACAAGTCTTAAGAAAAAGACTCATCTATCGACGACACGACCATCTTTGTATTGCAATCTATTATGATGCTAGGTATGCAGGTGACAAGGGTGACCAAAAGTCTACTATGAGTTATTGCACATATGTTGACAATAACCTAGTCACCTTGGCGGTCTCGAAAATAGAGGGTGGCATCTGAGTATCAAGCCATGACTTAGACAACACGGGAAATGGTATGGCTTCGATCACTTCTCGACGATCTTGGCATTGTTCCCCCTCTCCAATGCTTATGTATTACAACAATCAAGCCACAATCTTCATTGTTTGCAATCCCACCTTTCATGAGCATATGAAACACATTGAGATCGATAGTCACTACATTTGAGATAAGATTGTCTTAACTTATTTCTACTCCTCATGTGACATCATCTCATTAGCTTGTGGACATCTTCACGAAAAGTTTAACTAGCATCTCCTACGACGTCACGTGTACCAAGTTGAACATATTTGACTTATGTGCACCAGCTTGAGAGGGAGTGTTCGATAGTAATATCAGACTTCTAGCCCATTAGGGCCTATTATCTATCTTTCTCTCTCATCTCTCATCTCTCTTATATAACTATCATGTATTCTACTTTGAGTTTGTATAAATTTTAGGGTTTCCTCTCTAGTGTCAATAATATAAATTTATATATTTTTATAATCTTATTTTTGAGATAAATGAAGAGAAATAAAATAAACTAAAAAGATAAAAATAGGAGAGAACTCGTTAGCCAACAAGTAGTCAAAAGCATAGTCGAGTGAAGTTGTGAATAGTGGAGCCAAGTGTCTAAGGACAGAGTGGTAAGGGGACGCATGTGCATCACTCTCCTTCCATGTCACCGGTGGTGAGCGAGTGTGAGGCAAGGAGTAGTTGTACACACACGAGAGAGGGTTACTGATTGTAAGATCTTCTATATATATATATCTATATATCTTAAAACTCATAAAATAATTGATGTGGGATTAAACTTGCTTCTCAAAATTTTTTAATGATTTTAATACCTAAATACTCATTTATAAGAATAAGATATCTTGATGACATCATTGTATAAGGATATTTGTGTACTTATTTCACTGTCTCATATAGGTAGGCGAATGACAAGGGTTTGAATCCTACTAGAGATAAAACTCATATTTTATCTAAATAAATCATGATTTTTTGTAGATTTTTAGTGAACAATTAAGTTGTCATAATCACTTAATCATCAATAAAAATCTTGTCAACATGATTCATAGAGTATCGTTACTAAGATTATTGAACGATTATAGATAAAAAGAATTATGAATCCATCAAGTAAATCATCTCCGATTGATCGATGAATAAGTGATTGTTAAGAAAAGGATAATCTATTAAGAGATGAGTCATCACCTCTTGAAAGTGTACCAAATGTGATGAAGAGCTTTCTTTTACTATGCAGATCCAAAGATGAAGTTCTCTAAAACGTGCCTCACCTCCATCTAAGTCATCTCCCTCAAGTGACAACCATCAAAGAGTCACAAAATCACTATTTTTCAATAGTGATAACTTTTGGAGACGACTCAATAATCCTATTAATATTGAAAGAAAAAAACCCTAGAATACGTCATTAAGAATAGAGGCTATATGTATATATATAGAAAATGAGAAGATAAAATAAAGATAATGGGCCTTAGTAGGCCCTAATGAGTTGAGAGTCTGATGACACTATCAAACACTCTCCTTCAAGTTAGAGCATATAAGTCAAACATGTCTATCTTAAAACATGTGACATCATAAGAGATTTCGGCCAGACTTTTCGTATAGATGTTTGTAAGCTAATGAGATGAGGTCATATGAAAAGTAGAGATGAGACTAGACATAACCTTAACTTGAGTGTAATGATAGTCGATCTCAATATATTTCATACACTCATGAAAGTTGTAATTATCGACAAATTGTCACAATAAATGGGCATTAGAAAGGAGAAGAGATACAAGATCTTCAAGAAGTGATTGAAGCCATACCATCATTTGCACATTCTTAGCCATGGCTCGATACTCGAACTCTACACTAGAATAAGACACCACCCTCTATTTCTAGGACCTTCAAGAGACGAGGTTACCTCTGACATATGTGCAATAATCCATAGTAGACTTCTCATTGCCCTTATCGCCTATATACTCAGCATCATAATAGGTTTTGACACAGAGATGACCATATTGCCAATAGATGAGTTCTTTCCTTAGGGCTCACTTGACATATGTTAGAACTCATAGAGCTCCCTCTTAGTGAATTTGTGATGGCTCCTACATGAGCTGACTCATAACTTTCTCTTCACACTCGTGTGAAGAGAAAGGCCTCAAGACATGATGATCTCGAGGAGCATGGGTACCTATGCTTGTGCTCAACACTCGATCACTCACTTTGTTTCTTATGATCACCTTTCCCCCTCCTTTCATACCTTTGCCTTTCTGTGGCCTTTGAGTTGATTCCCCGCTCATATGTTGAGGTGGCATAAGTACATAAGTGGAAGGTGGTCATAGACTCAAAAGTGGATGCCTTGGTATCTCGAGAGACTTAAACGCTAGCTCATTGTCTGGTAAATGATAACATTATCATCGTGTAAATGGGTGTTCACACCCAAATGTCATCCATATGGTACTATTCTATATAATAAGACTTGTTTGGTTGCTCGTGGCTTCACCTAAGCATATGTCATTGACTATATTGAGACATTCTTCTTCATTACTTGACTCACTTCTGTTTGAGTGTACCTCTCTCTTGTCGTAAATCAAGCATGGTCTCTTCACCATGTTCCTTGAGATCATTATAGAGAAAGACATTAGGAACATCCAACTAGTAAAGAGACCATGCTTGATTTACGATGAGACAGAGGAACACTCAAATAGAAGTGAGTCAAATGATGAAAGAGAACATCTCAATAAAGTCAATGACATATGCTTGGGTGAAGCCATGAGCAACCAAACAAGTCTTGTTATGTACAATTTTTAGTGTGCTTGTGGGTGCAAAATCTGTAATATTTAGCCACAGAGTGTCTGGCGGTGATGGAGATGACGATGACAATGATGATGCAACTGATGAGGATTCAGCTGATGAAGTTAGCGCCATAGTCTTCAGCTCTTCTTGGTTGCCCAGCCCAAGGTACTAACTAATTGACTGACTAACTCATTCCCTTCTTCTCCGCCATCCTCCCCTCTTCTTTTTCTACCTTATTCAGATCAAGCTTTTGGTTTGTAGTGCAGGCCTAGCGAAGTCTCAGCAGCTAAAGCAGAAGCAGCAGTAGACAAGGAAGAAGAGTAGCAGGGTTTCTGTGGTCACTCTAGAGGACAATGTGGTGAAAGATCTGATCTTGAGCTCCGACGACAATGAGGCTCTTGAAGGGGACTTGCTATTCGAAGATGACGATCGTGAGCCTGACGATCCTAACATCGAAATGCCCAACAAGAAGAGAAAGAAGCCATATGCTCACCAAGGCATCCACTTTTGAGTCTATGATCACCTTCCAGTCATGTACCTCTATTGCCTCAACATATGACTAGAGAATCAACTCAGAGGCCATAGAAAGGCAAAGGTATGAAAAGAGGAAAAAAGGTAATCATAAGAAACAAAGTGAGTGATGGGGTCTTAAGTACAAGCATACGTACTAAGTGATGGGATGTTGAATATAAGTATGAGTATCAACGTGACTTAGTCATTATATAGTAAATCATATAAATTTAAAATTTATAAAACTAGAAAATACTAATTTTTAAATATTTAAAAGTATTTTTGAACAAATATATCAATTATAATTTAATCAAACTTTCAAAAATAGTAATAATTTTTCAAGTTGATCATAAAGATGTAATATAATATCGAGTAATTTTTTAGAATTTTACTCAAAGAATATGATCTTTATAAATTTTCTACTACAAAATAAAAATCAAATATATTTAAAATTAACAAAAAAGGAAAATAAGGGTGCAAACATCAAGATGATTTCAGCTCCTGACGAATGTGAATTGGGCAAAAATAAAGTTTCACCCGACGATTTTTATGTAAGTGATTACAAATGATTTAATTGATCAAATTAAGATCTATAAAAGTTAGAAGATTCCTAATTGAAATATAGCTTGATAAATTTAAATCACATAAATTATCACTAAATGAAGTAAAAATTAAGTTAAAAGAAAGAAAATAGAATTTTGACATCATGATGGTGATACATCAATAATGTACTGGAATCCTAAGCGTTCGAGAGAATTATCATAAAATGTTCACGGCCTTGAAAGGTCTCTTAGGATAAGAATAATATAGGTAATCTCTAGATCTCCTTGCGAAGTCTAGAGATCAATGAAATGAGTCATCGAGTCATCTCCGGTACTATCACCTAGTGGAGTAGAAAAACGATGACTTTGTGGCTCTCTGATCTACGTAGGAGCTAAATGGAGGTGGGGCACGTGTTAAAAAATCTCATTTTCAGGTCTGCGTAGTAAAAAGAGTCTTCATCATATATGATATGCTCTCAAGAGGTGGTGACTCGTCTCCTAATAGATCATCATCTTCTCAACAACAACTTGTTCATCGATCAATCAGAGATGATTTACTCAATGGATCTGGGATCCTTTTATCGTGAATTATTCAATAATTTTAGTAATAATACTCTACAAATGTATTAACAAGATTTTTATTGATGATCTAACGATTCTTGCAGCTTAATCTTTCACTAACGATCTGTAAGAAAGTCATGATAATCAAATAAAAATATAAGTTTTGGTTGTAAGAGGATTTGAACCCACGTTAGTTGTCTATCTACATGAGAGAGATTAAAATAAGTACTATAATGCATTTATCAAGTGATGTCATCATGATATATCTCTATCATAAATAAGAGGT